TTAATCAAAGAAAAATCAGAAAAACCGTAACGCTGTGATACTTTTGACCGTTTTTTGTCACAGCGTCACGGTTTTTCTGATTTTTCTTTGATTAATACAGATTAATCAGAATAGTTTAATCTACTTAATTATCTAGTTGTAATTTTAGATTATTTTTTAATTTTATTGCCAGAGTTCTATGAAACAACAGCGAAAAAAGGAGACCGTTAGCTGGACAAGCCGTGTGCCTCGTTAATTTGACCCCTATGTCACTTTTGTGGTTCGAGCTTTGTGTTTGAATGTAGAAAATATTTGTACGTGAAAACTAGATTTGTCAAAGATATTTAAATGAGTCTTTGATTGAAAAAAGATTCAAATACATATTTTTTCAATGCTTATTAAGAAAAACATTTATCCCTACACACTGGAAAGTAGTATGTAGTCCAAACTTCCTTTTTTGAGGCGGCTTATATTGCATCACGTCTTATTTCGAAGAAAAATGTTAGCTCTACTAGTGCGTGTAACAGATATGGTTAAAAGTTAAGAGAAATTCCTTTTAATCCACATTTAGCTCTATATTTCTAATGCATGAAAAAACTTTTTTCCTGCTACAATTTATTTCATATACTTCATTTGTCAATATATATAGTCTGGATCATCGATCAAATCGCTGTACTGAATGTTATTAATAATTTAATAAATTTGAATTTCTTTAATAACACAACAAAAAAACAGAAATGAGTCTCGATCAAACCGAACACTTGAAAATAGGAAGAATTAATGGAAAACGCATTTATGCCAAATATAGATCGTTAATCATACCATGTTCAAAAACTAACAGAACATTTCATGATTTTACAGTCTATAACAAGTTCAAAGGAACCACATATGTCAACAACAAGTCATTATCAAAACGTTGACTTAACGTTTGAATTTTTCCTAATGAAAACTTTTTTTTGAATTTTACTCATAATACTAGGCGTGCGCCAAAAGCATAACTAAAAGAAATTTATTTTTACGAAGATTCTTTAATAAGAGACTTTAAAATGTTGCATTCCATTGCAGCACTTACGCGTAAAATTGATTTCACCATGAGATAGAGCATTAAAAACACTCCGGAAAACACACAAAAGTATTTAACTAAACGCCTATTAAGTGGTCCAAAAATGACTAAGTTTAGGTTTTTCACTCAGTTTGTAGGGAGAGATTTTGGAACTTGCGTTGCCCATAAGTCAATGAGATTGTATCTAAATTGTTTCAAACTTTCAGAACCAGAAACAGGTAGGAAGTTGTATGAGTGGTAAAAATTTCAGCCCTTAAAGTTGATGTCTTCCTAGTAAACTTCGCGTTATGCCGCAAAATGTAGGGAGACTTTTTTTGTAGGGAGAGATTCGTTTCGAACTTTTTTCCTATTCATAGTTGTGCAGAACTGAGAAAAGTAAACTTTAATGGGTTTTCGAACACGCTCTTTCTAGTAGAGCAAACAGAACTACGTAAAACAAAACCTTTGGAGGTATTTACCAATAAGCCGAAAAAACCGCAAAGATTCTCTGAAAGCGTTTTTTGACAAGAATAATTCCAACGGGTACACCGCCTGCAGGTAATTTTTTCCTCTCAATTGCTCCTAAGCTAGTAGATAATGCTGCCTAGAGGTGTCCTGCGTAAATCGTAGGTCTCTATCTTGTTTCTATTAGAAGTTATTTTGAAAATATCACGGATCACCGTTAATTTAATACATTAGGAACTTGCACCTCTATTATCTCAGCCGGTAGACCTTTGGTAGTTTGGAAATTTTTACCTGGTACTCAGGAAATTATGGGGAATAGTCTGGTCGACTCAGATTTTTGATAAAGTTACTTACATTTTTTCCCGCAAATTGTACAACTAAAATACGATTCACTCGTAAACTTGAAAGCATCGTTATTGCTCAAACATATTTGTTTTTCTGGTTTTTACTGTATAGAACAATGTAACAAGAACAACACATAAATATAGATAAATAAATGAGCGGAGTACATTCGAAGATGAAAACCACACACACACAGTGATAAAAACAAATAAAATTAAATAAAATGGAATATTTGCGAATTTTTTTATAAAATGGACTAGGTTTTTAAAAAGAACGGATTTGACAAGAAAAAACAAGACATTATTCTAACATTTACTTACAAGAAACAAAACCCATCTACTAGATACGATATGATCATTCGATTATTCACATACATACATAAAAAGAAAGATAAAATGAGATAAACATTGTTCTCTCGATGGCCACGCATGTACACGTTTATCACAGAGTTAAAATCACAGAGAACCGGAGAACAAAATTTCCAAATAATGTCCATTGATGACTCTGTCTCTTGTTCAATAGCAATTGCACGTTAATCTTTAAAGAATACGATTATTTTCGCATTTGAGAAAGAAATAGTCTGTATAGAAATTTGGAATGAAAAAATTAATTCCACATTTAATTAGACAGACAGATTTGTTGTGGTCATGAAAACATTAATAACGATGTTACATATCGATATTAATAAAATAAGAAATAGTGATAAATTATTGAGACGTTCTAATTTTGTTTGTTTGGAGGGATTTCGTATATCGCCTTTACCAATCAATACGAGTAAAAAACCCAGTCCAATTTGTAATAATATTGAAACACAAACTAAGATTATTGAAACAGTCCATAGAACATTACGATGTTTTTGAATTATCAACGTTCGTAATTGCATTGCATTCGATGCTGAAAAATTAATAACAAAGAATTATAGTTGTGTTCTAACTCAGATATAACAAACATATTATCGTCTCAAATCTATCACTCACTTAATAAAGCAAATTCTAACATTCCATGTCCAATTGTCTTTTTTGTGGCATATAGATTATAATTACAACCACATTCCAACTCACTATGAGCCTAAATAGAACAAGAATTTTGATAGAATATCAGAAGATTGTATCTGATCATAATAAAATGAGGTGTCAAAACAACAGAAAAACGAAAGCAGAATAAACAGAATCTTTGTTGAACTAAGACTAACTAGGTTAAATGAATTTTATCTAATTTTATTTTGATTCGGAATGCAAAACTGTCACAAATTTAACTAAGAATGTAAACTTCCTCTAACCATGCGATCATACATAGTTATCAATACAGTTTTTGATATATTTGTCAACGAGACAGTTGTAAGTGCCGCAAGATCAAATCATAATAGAAACTCGAATACGAAATTAGTTCATTGTGTCTTTAAAAACGTGAAGCGAAAGGAGGAAGAGGCGGAGGCGGGGAGGGGGTGGAGGAGGTGGATGGAGATTTATTTTAGATTTGAAGAGGTAGCGATTAAGAAGGACTCTTAATCTAGCTGTCGCCAGTAGAAGAGCAAACAATTTTAATGACACTGTCATATGCTCAAGGAACAAGATTGCCATTTTGTTTCAAAATCAGCAGTAGAATAAATAAGCAAGCCTAAAGTGCCATTATATATTTAGAATTGAAAGTAATAAATGTAACGACTACACGTCTTCAACAGACATTATTATCAAGATTAGAAACAATGCATAGTTCATCCACTTAGTCAAAAATTGTCCGAACAATCAACGAACGGATAATCCTTTAGTTACATCCATCGAAAATTAAATTAAAATTTTTGTTGTTATTCTGTCTATCGTTTATATACGTATGATATTTTAAACGAATAAATGTCAAATGGATCTCTATTTGTCTATTCGTTTTTATTATTATTCTATAACGTTATGTTCATTAGGAATCACGAGTCAAATTAAAGAGAAGAGTTAAAGATAAAAAAATAAACGACTAAACATCACGCACATGCTTTACTAGAGTAGTAATTGACAAAAGATTAAGTAAATAAATCAATAGAAAGACAATTTTATCAAATGTTCTTTATTTACATATTATGCACGTTCACATATCATCATTATCTCTATAGTTCTCTGTGAATTAACGTATCTTTCTATATATTATCCTCAACAATTGAGACATTGTCTTCATTACATATTGAGCACGTAAAATGCTCATCATTGTCGACGTGAGATGCTCAAAAAATTCGAAAGTCAGTAAAACGTATGACTTGCTCTTTTTAGTATTTCTTTTATTTCTTCACTATTTTCGGTGTTGCATTAGCATAAGCTAGCCTTTCTTTGCAACAACCATGCTTGCAAAAATAAAAATTCAGTTCAGTTCAGTTGAGAAATACTCAGAAATAATAAAAAAGATTTGTTAATTTTCTAAACTATTGAGATAAGAGTTTGCAATCTTTTCTTGAAATATTATATTCGGAAAAGAGAAAATATAAAAATTGAATTAAAGAATCTCATCTGAAAGATTGAGAGTAATCATTAATTGTCTAAATCATGCAACTATTTAGCTCTGAATTCATTGAGTCAACGTGTTACAATCAGTTTTTATTTCTTTTCTATCTACAAAAGTTTGATTGTACATAAGCGGAAAGAATAAAACACATTTGTGCCTTAGTAGCCAGAGGCCTCTATATCCTCCAGAATTCATACACTTTCTGTTACTCTTATGTTACTTTCTATCGAATTTCTAATACACATCAAAAAGTGTAACGTTAATTAAACCAGTGTTAAATATTCATTAGTTCGCTCATGCGTAACAATCAGAAAACAACCGATATAATGATGGTAAAATTAAGCATTTGATTGCTCTCTTGGACTGAATCTTCTAGAAGCAAGTCTATCACGTGAAAGTCTAACACTTATATCTTACAAAAAACGTCCATGTCTCAGTTATTCCTGGCAGTAACTAAACTAACTATTATCTGCCTTGCTCTTATTTCTCAAAATAAAAATTGTTTTTGATACTTATTAGATCAGAGATTAAGTTTACTGTATCTTATTTTATTTATGATTAACATCTGACAGAGAAATAAGTGACTCATCATACAATAAAATTATACTGGTTGAATACCTTGAATTATTGAATATGAAACAAACAGTTTACTAAGAGATATTTCTCATGAATCATTTATACTGTTTCCATTGACAGTGTTTATGATACATTTTTCTAGAGAGCGAAGATTTTTTACGAATTTACCGTCAAAAATTTGTAAATAACAAATAATTAAATCGAAAAAAGATTATAAAGGTTTTTTGGGTAGTTTTTTTTTTTTTTTGAATGAGGTGGAAACTATCTTTCTCTTTCGTCTACTACCTGTAACCGTTGTTTACTAATCTCTCTCGTAAAAAAAAACTATTCTAAAAACATTGGGTACAGAAGTAGTATTTATACTTCGAGAGTATTACTCATTATTTGTTGTTGTTTGTAATTAACTTGTACTAAAACATAGACTTTCTACCAAGCTTTTTAATGTTGACTTTCTATTAAAAAAATAGTTCGTTTCTCTTTCAAAACTCATTATGAACTCTAATCGTTAATTTTGAAAGTTATACACCTTTATAAATCATTAAAACATTGTTTACTATATACGTTATAAACTTGATCAACAAGATTCATTGTACACTCTTTCTTTTTTTTATAAATTTTGACAATGACACAAAATATACAATTTAAACTCTCATTTATATAAAGTGCACATATGGCACTATTGTGTAGTTAAATTTAAATTAATTTATGCAATTAAAATTATCATGACATCTGCTTTCTTGAGTATAAAATCAATGTAAATGTATTCTACTATCTTCTACGTTTTATTATACACATTCAAAAAGTACGTAAAGTTTTGTGATTTCACTGTCCAAACCCAAGATGATCTTTCAACGATGTTCGTGTTAAATTTATCTCTTGATTACAAGTTTTTTGTTCAATTTTCGTAACAGTTAACAATATGTACCATGTTTAGTATCCTGTTTAATTATTATTATTTTTATTATTATTTTTATTATTATTATTATTATTATTATTATTATTATTATTGTTACACGTTGGAGTGTTTACCTTCGATTTACTAGTTTAAATATAAATAAAAAGTGTATTTTATCATTTGTGTTAAACACTAGATGCGACAAAACACTTCAGTAACAAGAAAAAAATGAAAAATGTGTGTATGTGCAAATCATATTTTACTAGAAAGAAACGAAAATAACCTCTTCTAAAGATTATAAAATTCGTTTAATAATCAATGTGCATGTGTTCGATATGTACAATAAAATTCACAGGAAAAAAAAAGTGACGTCAATCAATGTGTCATTTACAAAAGAGTAGTAATTTTCTCTCCTTTTTTCTCAAGTATTCATCATAGTGGTTTCATAAGTTTGTTCAAATGATACTAGAAAAACATTGATTCTTTTAGTTTTTCAACCAATAATTCCAAACATACAATATATACAAGTGAACTAATATAGATTTCGAGTAGTTTTAAAGAAAAAAATTAATTTAAAAGATGTAATCAGACACTAAACACGTATAGACTTTTATGTCTGTAAAACAAATCATACTAAAACATAAAAGATTGATACGACAGTTTAAGTTTATAAAGTGTCTTAGTCTTTCTATTTTATTTTTATAATTTAAATATGATTTATCTACTTGTTAATGAGTAATAAATAAATACTTGAAGATAAATAAAGAAGGAAGTTATGCAATCAAGCTGTTTAAAATAATTTAACAATACACTTCATCATACGTTTGTAAGTTAGTTATGATTTAATGAGTTAATATCAATATGTGACATATTCATATTGGAGTTACAAGCGCAACGATTATGTTTTATTACATATTTGAAAGGATAATAATAACAACTACAACAAGCATGTACATAACTTACATGTATTGATGGACCACCATCGCCTTCAATATCCCCCTATGAAAAGTATTAACCCAGCCACAATTAATTATGTTTTCTCTAACTAACGTTATGTTGCCAATTTATGAAAAATTAATTAGTAAAATTTATAGATAAAAATAATCGATAAACAAATACATACCCTTCTAAGTCCTTCACTGATTGCTTGTTCAAGTGATTGTCTCGTTATTGGACGATCGGATCTTGGTGGTGGCTGATCGGATCTTGGTGGTGGCCGATCGGCTCTTGGTGGCGGTTTTGGTAGAAGACCCATTTGTGTTTCATTTATTTGACCACTACGTGAACTAAAACCTTTCTGTGCTGGATGAATAGTAACCGGTTCTGGGTACATCATTGGTGGTGCTGACGGATTATATGGTTGATCTGTTTCATAACGTGTAGGATGATGGTAAGCCATTTAGTAGTCGTAGTTAAGGTCACCAGCAATTGATTTTGACTCTGTTAAATTCTGATTTGTGTGTGAGTGTGAGTGTGTGTATGTCTCAACTATAATATTAAAAATGATAAAGAGAAGAATTACAAATAAAATGTATATAAATACAGTCTATGGACGGCAGTTCTCTCTTCTCTCTTTTTTTTTGCATGTGTGTATGTATGTATCGCATAGTTTTAAATAGAAAAAGAACGAACTGGTAAAAAAAGAGAATAGACAAAAAAAATACGTAAAAAATTATGAAATAAAAAAAAAAAAGAAGTAGAGGAAATCAAATTATGTCTAACATCTTCTAAAAAAATTGGAAGAAAAGAGAAAACTTGATAATGTGTGTGTGTGTGTGTGTGTGTGTGTGTGTGTGTGTCTGTGTGTGTGTGTACGTTATAGCAATTTAGTTGAATATGTATTTAAAATAATAAAGGAAAAGAAGAAGAGACCTTGTCCTGAGATGTAATCGAGTCATCGGGGAAATGTTTGTCCTCCTGAAATTTCTAAATTATATATCTTATTCAATGTTAGGAAATACTACATGAATCAGGTGAATAAGCAAGCACATAAGCATGAGTAACAGGTTAAACATGCAATGTTTATAGAAAAAAGCAAATGCGTCGATCGCTGTAATACGTCAATTTTTATTTAGAAGGTTATCAATTTTACCGCGTGTATCAAATAAATCTATCAATCATCTATCATCATTATCACTGTTATTATTATTTCAACATAACAAGGCAACTTTACTATTAGATTTAAGCATACGTGTAAAAACAAATATAATTGATTTTTTATTCAATAAAAAAAAACAAAAAACGAAGTCAATGTCACGCACGATACTTACGTCTTTTGTTCTCTAAAGCTAAAATGGGAATTTTATGAAGAAAGTTTCTACTAACAATTTTTCTACTATGACCTAAAATTATCTAAATGAGAATTGATAATTCAGTCGGTTGCAGTACAGAAAAACTTTAGTTTATGAAGTTATAGAGTAAAGCAAGATTATTTGTGAATAATAAGAAGTTGAATCTTGGCTAACGATTTCAAATCTACAGTCTATTGTATAAGATATGAAAACTCATATGAAACATAATAAGCGGATATTCTTCAAAAAAACAAACTTAATATAACTATCAGTAATAAAATGTTATCTAACTCGACAACAATGTGAGAACAACGTTTTAAATGAATTTACTCTAACAGAAAGTAAGATAATCGCAGATTGTTAGCCTCTCTTTTTCGTTCCATTTTCATCTTTATGTCAACTATATCTATATATACATATATATAATAAAGAGAAAGAAAAGGAAAACTTTTATCCACTAAAACTCTTCATCTTCTCCGCAGCTGATCAGAAAAAGAACAAGAGAAAAAAAGAATATCATGTGAGCAATGGCTAAAATACGCAAAATCTTGTAAGAAATAAAAACGAATCAATCTTTTTCTGTATTGTATTGTATTGTATGAAACATGAGATACTGTTGTGATATGTTTATGTATTATGCATTTACCGGGGTTTGGCATACGTCTGACATCAAACAACCTGTGCATAATAGTAGTGACAATAAAAAAAGTTTTGCATGTAAAGTCACAATTTTTTTTTTTGCCGGAAAACGAAAGAGAGAGAGAGAAAGAGAATCGAATAAAATGTTCATTTTAATTGAAATCATATGATAAATGTCTCCAGGATTTAGAAAACACATAACATGTTATGACATCATAATTACAGATAAAAAGAAGTTAAAGGACTGTGAGTTTAGGGTGTTAATAAAAGTTGATGACAAAAGATTAGCTCATAATTGTGATCTTTCTATTAGAAACATATCTTCAGAAGTATAAGTCTGATCTTGATAAAACTTTGAGAAAATGTTGGTCATGACACAACGTGGTTATTAAAAAAAAGTTCCCGGATATCCTCCAACTATGGGTCCAACAAACTGATGAAAAAACCTGACAATTACAAAATGTTATGAGAGTCAGAAATATTTTTGAGACAGAGCAACATTAGTGTATGATGTATATTTTAGGGCTTATGTACAATTTTTATACCGTTTTCAAGGAACATCATCCAAAACTGAGAGACTTCTACTTTTGACTAGAAATATTCGTTTTACCATCTGTTATCAATGACATATTTTTGGTTTTAGTGAATATAGCACAATTCCTTGAACAGTCACAGAGGTGGGCAAGTCTCAGTCCGGACTGATAAGCTTTTTTAATCGGACTATGACTGAAAACTTAAGTTTTGAGAGAACTAGACTGAAACTGAGATCCTAGTGAATTGAGATTTGACTGAAAAACAGAGAACTTTCTCATCTATGAACAATCAGTTTTTGTAGTTTATATTTTTGACGGTGGGCCTAACTTCATTCAAAGGTTCCGTCATTAGATATAACATCCTCTTAAGTATACGTGCGAAATGCCTCACTGTTTTTGTGCTATAGTAAAGTTGAACAAAATACTTTAAAACAGCTAGTATACAAGAAAAGAAGATAAGGGGTATGAAACTTTCGTAATTTATGCAGTTAAAGTCGTGGGTATGTATATACAATTATATTGTCAAAACTCTATTATGACAGCAACGTTATCAATTTATTAAGCTAGATATATCACACTTGAGGTGAATAGTCATTCATTAAGTATAATGTAAAAATGCACAGATGTTTATTTTAAATGCTTTTTTTTTCATTTCCTCTTTGTTAGTCACTATGTATATATACAAGAAAATACGTTATGTTCGACATGAGAAAAAACAAGAACAGGAAGAAAAGATGAAATTTTTCTTAATATCAAAAATTGATGCAAATATTCGTTCACAAGAAAAAACTATTCATTCTGAAACAATAAGAATCACATGTGGTGCGGTCTCTTTGTTTCTCGTCTGTTTATTTAATATCATCAAATCTTTCTAATTAAAACAAGCTGTATATTGTCTATATACAAGTGAATGACTGATTTCACAGGTCTGGCGTACTACAGATATATCTAAAGAATGAAATTCTCATGAGAAATAGTTCTATGTATAAAAATCAGAGAATAGTATTTATTTATCATCTGGATTTCTTTATAAATGTTTTAATAATATAGAGTATAGTACATCGCAAGACAAGTGTCCTGCTGTCATTTACAAGATATCTACATCATCATAATTAAACATATCGGACTGCTATTTTCTGAGTTTACTGTCTAAAACAAGTAGTTGGCTAACAAGAGCGTGTACAAGCAACAACGAACAGCAATAACAACAGTGAAACAGAAAGAATAAAGCATATCAAATTCATTTTCTTCTATCACCCCGGTGTAGTACTAGCCTACTGAGTTAAGAAATTAATATACGTTTATGACTTTCATGTGAATGTCAAAATACATTGCTTCTTCTCTGTTTGTCCCATAAGACCCAACTTATCTTCTATACTTCAGAATTAGAGTCATTATATCAATTGAATGCCGATTCGACATCAGATCTTTGTTTATTACATACCTTTTTTATCAAATTCATAATCATTCGTTCCAAGTCGACTTTATTTTTGCTACTAACAAACATGTTGAAATGAGGAAAGGTATAAAATCACTTTGTTTGACAAAAAAAAACGAAAATCACAATTGGAATAAATAAAATCAAAATATTGAACAAAATTATCCTAAATTTTTGCTGTATAGTACCTATAGTCATGAATAAAATTCGTTAAATTTTTTGAAAATGATGGTAAGTCCTAAATAGAAGTAATAGATTATCAACTTTGAAAATATTTAACTAAATATTACTTACCGTTTCAATATGGACATAATTCTGTAATAAAATATTTTTCTTTTCATCTGTTAGTGTCTGTTGATAAAGATAATCGGTAAGAAATTCGACAAATGTAGCGTTATTTTGATGTGATGACATGTGATAAATTCCAGCAATTATTTCATCACGACATAAATTGTGCGTATGTGCGAGTAATGCCGTTATTAGTAATGTTAAAAATGGTTTTAACATATGTATTTGGAATATTTGTTTATTATACAGAGCACATTTTTGGTTCAATTCTTCTAGTGACGATAAATTTTTACGAAATAACTCAACATCAGTTTGTGAACAAGACCAAGCATAACTCTAAACGTCAACCAAAAACTTGACAGCTCATTGTGTGTGTGTGTGTGTGTGTGTGTTTGTAGAAAACACGATCACCAATCTGAATGTCTCTTGCCCCACTATTAGTCCGAAACACAGTTAGGCTTGATCACATAACATTCTCACCAGAGTGAAACTTCGTTCAGTTCTTTTGTACTTTTTACTTTCTATGTATTTCGAATGGAAACACAACCACATCTGTTCTTCAACATCCTCATTTATAGAATGAATGAACTCTGCTCAACATATGAGGCATTTCTTTGCTCTTCACAATGTGCACATTTTGCAGAGAGATGAGGAATATCGAGAAACACTTTTGAAAACTAAATAGCTAAAGTATTCTTGAACTATCATCCAATTTGCAAATCAAAACATTGGAAAGTGTCAAGTGTGTTTCTATTCGAAATACATAGAGAATAACGTGACAGAGTTTTTCTCTCGTAGCACAGCCAAGACAAGTTGCATGACGTATCATACAATTTAATATCTTAGTTAATTTAAAATGTCTCTGCTTTTTCTTTTTCGACTTAATGAATTCTGTTGTAGAATCTACACGTTGAATTGAATAAGTATTGAGTAAGTATAACTACTATGTAAGTTTGTTTTCGACATACCTCCATTATTTGCATAAAAGATGTTTCATTTTCTACATTTTCCACCTCTTCGTTTAATGTTGATAGCACATTTCCTTTGAAAAAATATTTCCAATTATTCAATAAAAGTATACCAAGCAAATTAAAATAGGATTCTCGAATATCAAGAGACGGATTCTAAATAAAAAAAAGATAAATTGATTATCAATTTTATATTAAATTCATTTTAACTTACGTCACGAAGTGCTGGAAATATTGCATTTACATTAAGATCGATTATTAATGATAAAAAGTGACCATATTTCGTTCCTGGTTCGCTGATAATCAATGACAATAAATCTAAAAGTCTTTAAATACACAATCCATTATAATGAGTCATATACTCTAAAGACGAAAACTAGACTATTTACTTGCTAACAGAACTATGTGCTGCATGTTCAGAATCGGCTAATATGGTTCGCACGTCATTACTAAAATAGAGTAGAAAAAAATAATCCGAACAATATACATTTTTTAATAAACATACATATTAAATAAATTAAACATATTTTTCAATATTGTTTCAATTAATTGAACACCCATTTGTGTGCGTATTGTTTCAAATAATGAAAAAAATAGTGATAACAACATACGACTGCATTCTAAAATAGAGAAAAAGTATTTAACTTTTAATTTAATCGTATATTTTTATACATTACCAGCATTTCTATGAATAACAATCGATAGTAAATGATTACATGATAATATTAGATGATGAATTGATAAAAAAAAAATTTGCTTTGTTTTAATATTTTCTGAGCGTACAGTATATACAAGATCGGATAATAAATTTGTATAGAATAGTAATGCTTCAATAACTAAAACAGATAAAACGAAAATGAATGATAAGCTCGTGTTCTTGTTCACAAATTTTTTTTAATTTTATTTCATCATAGAAATGTTGTGAGTTGATTAACATTTAGTTTATCTTGTTTCAATGAAAACGTTTGCACCTTAGGTAAAAGTCTCTACTTTTTCAAGAATTATACTAAAAAGTTATCTAAGTACGACTATGAATAAACTACTCTGTTCATTGTTCATTAAATTTGGTCGTACGGTCAGTTCGATGTAGTGAACACTATATGTAAAAATGAGCAGACGTACTTTTGATCACCAAATTTTTCAGCATGCATCTCACATTTTTATTTATTTCTCAACAAAGTATAATGTACAACACAAACATATTCATTGAGATTTTAACCAAATAAACAATAAAGCTGTGCTAACTTTCTTGGAGGGTTCGGTTACCGACATATAAGCCACCGACAAGAACAATAAATACCTAGCCAATGATACATTCAATAGTTTTCTGATGTGGCAACAATCCTGTTGGTTTGTTGTACCATTATTAGTATATTTATGTAAACATTTTGTTGGATTAGCAAGTTTATTTAACTTGTATCAAGTTAACGATAAAACACGTATTCAACCATTAGGCGAAACGAAAAGCAAAAGGGCGTCCCAAGAAAGTTAGCACAGCTTTATTGTTTATTTGGTTAAAGTTTCAATGAATATGTTTGTGTTGTACATTATACTTTGTTGAGAAATAAAAATGTGAGATGCATGCTGGAAAATTTGGTGATCATTTGTATCTTTTTTTGGTGATCAAAAAAATTGATATCCTGTAAAAATTGAGAAAGAAAGAAAAAAATACGGTTTTTACAACAATTTTTGATAGACTCCAGTTAAGCATGAACAACGTATTTTGGGTTGCGTTTCTAGAGGGCACTGTGTTCTCGTGTGGAATTTTCACACTGTCTCTAGCTCATTCACTTGTAGGAGAACCTGTGAAGAAATTGTGAAAAACAGTTCAGTACTCGTCTTTAAATAATCCGAAGTAGAACCGCAATTCTGTGGTGAACATTCTCATGAAAGTTGCTCGTCTAACACTATAACGAATCCCAATGATATTTTCTGCACAATTTTTGATAGATTTCAAATCAACTCTTGGATAAAGAAATGAAGAATATAAAGAAAATAATAATGAAGAGAAATAGGAAAGCTTCCATTAGAGAGATCAAAAGTTTACCTTGCTTGTTTTGAATTTGCTCGTTGTCTAATATGTTTATTAAATTTCCATATGGTTCAAATAATCGTTGTATAAAGAATTTATATTGTTCACTCCGTTCAGTCGAATATTGTTTATCATCCAATGAGGGATATATGATTAAGCAAGAAATTGTTTTTATAACCAGAGTGTAAAGCTGAAGAAAAAAATATCTGTTATATCAATTAAAAGACGAGAAATAGTTTCTGTAAGACAATGACGGAAATTAGTGAGTATGCTTCATTTTTCATCTCACAAACGTTTGATTTCCAAAAATGACTTTTGGTCAACCGTTGTAAAAAAATTGCTTAATATTTTCCGTTACCATTTCAACGAATCTCATCCACTTTATTCCTTAAACTTTTTCTATGCATCCAAAGTTCATGACAAAAAATGAAATATAGGAAGACAGGAACTACAGTTACTGTTTCTACAGACGGAAATATACACGTGTATGGATTTCTGTATTTGGAAGTTTGAAGTTCAGATGAACAGAAGCGGAAGAGATTTTATTTGTTTTTTGATATAATGTATTAGACAATTATGTTTTAGTGTTTCAGAAATTGAGCTCTTAATCTGTTACAGACATTAAACAGAAACTCGCACAAAACCATCTGAATAATTTATAGAAACTTTTTAGTACAGCATCTAGATATCAGATTTTTACAATAAAACTGACGAAGAAGATAATGTCACATACTTATATCTTTCAGGAAATTTCAAAAATTCTACACATGCATACAAATTATAGTTCTTTTAAAATGTTACGATAAAAGTGAAGATGATGATATCTGTTCAATATTTTAAGAATCGCTCTGTATAAACAGTAGTTAGTTACAGCTCCTTTTGCAGAGCGGAAAATTTACAGTGGACACTTTTTCATAGAACAGAAATTGTGAGATGAAAAATAAAGCATACTCACTAATTTCTGTAATTATCTTACAGAAACTATTTCTCATCCTTTATTTGAAAGACGAATTTACCTCAACAGACATTTCGGTTCTATTCCATTTTATCACTCTTTCAATGAGCTCTTTTATTGATGGAATGTGTAGAATATAATTTGGTCGTATTAATGTTGATAATGTGTATAACAAATTTGTTGCCGACATACTAATTGGTAAGATAACCTAAATGAAAATGAAAAGAATGAACATTTTTTCGTAAAACGTAAATATTTGTTATCCAATCATTAGAATATTCAAGAAGACTTTGTTAAATGACAAACATTGAGGCAGAAGAAGATTCAGATAAAAATGTTCACATTGATGGTCACTTACGTGAGGATCTATGAATATCACACAACAATCTATAATGACCGTTAATAAATCTTTCGCTATTTTTCGATGTTCTTGATTATTATAACGTCCGTTACTGGAATGTAATTCTTTCAACCACCGAGAATACCATCGTAAACAATTTATGGATTGTGCAGAACTAATATAATATATGAAAGTCGATTATTATTATTATTATTATCTGTTAGATAAATTTTACACATACACAAGAATAATATCGTCATGTATTATAGACATTTGTGGCAAATAGTCAAATAAATCGAATCGAATATTTTTTGCGTACACAATCATTTGCACAAATCTAGAAAAAGCACATAATAACAAAGATTCTTGTTAGATAGAAGAAAAAACATTACTTCTTACTGATGTACAAGTGTTAGAGCATCATTAAAATGTTGTTGAAATTGTTCATCACAAAAATATTCATTTAAACGTCCAATTGCTTGTAATAAACTGGTTAAATCTCGTAGAAAACAATGAACATTTTGAATATGATCATGAGAAATGTTTAATTGTCTTATGCCTAAAAATGAGAGAAGGAAATAATCGTGTTTGCTTATATAAAAAAATTTTCAAAATACCATTTGAATGAATAACAATAACATTTTCCATATTTTTATAATGTGCTAATGTTCTTTCGAATGGAGTACTCTAGAAATAAAGTTCATAATTGAATATACTTAATAGTTGTGAAATATAGATTTACCAGAAACTGCATCACTGCATAAGGTTGAAAATCGGCTAATTTTCCTAACAAATCAATACATTCTTGAATAAATTTATCAAACGAATTGTCATCCTATGAATTAACAACGTAATATGACATAATACTAGTTTTATTTTAACCACTAATAATCGAATTGATGTACAAAATTTAATATATTATTCGATATTTTATTGTTTACCTCATTTAGCGCACCATTATCAGTTAATGCTTCCAATTGTGTCTTATTTTCATTGTATTGAATACGTTTAATCATTTCTTGCGCTAGTACGTGTAATACTTGAGCATATCTGTTGAAAATTAAAATACAAGTAGTTTGAGATAAATCGTTTACTTTTCTTTTTGGTGGAGAGTTATCCTACGTCTCATTTTGTTTGTTACTACTACGATTAAAACGTGTTTCTTGTTTTATTTTCAAATAATCGAGAAATGTTGACCAAATGTCCAAACAAACATAAAATCCAGTCTCTGATGGCTAGAAGAATAAGAGAAAACACGTAAGTATGTATCTCTTAACTGGTAGACAGAAAAACGCATTTTTTTTCAGCAGACGACTTGCAACAATAAAGTGTGTATCAGAGCTCCGTATGGACTGGACTGGAAACTTTTTGAGTTTATGAACTTGGACTGGACTCAACTTTCAAGACCATGGACTGGTCTGGACTTGGAAAACAATTTTGGATTCACTTGGATCGAGGAAAAACAGGTTGTTTTTCGTATTGTGGACTGGGCTGAACTACTTTTTTAGAGTTTATGGACTAGAAAAACTGTTATTCATGGACTCGGACTGGATTGGACTAGAGTTTTTCAGACCGTGGACTAAACTGGACTCAGAATTTTGAGTCCATACAGAGTTCTGGTGTGTACCTGTAACGCAGTCATCAAGAGACATAAGAGAAAACTTTTTGGTAGTTTTGATTAGTTCTGTGAGCTGCGTCGAATGGCAGTGCCTATTTGACAAAAAACATTTTCGACTTTCTGAGATTCCCTCCAGGTAGACGTCAAAAGGTTGAAAATTTTTTTGT